TGAGTTTTGATGATTTTTCCCAAAATTGGCCACGAGGCGCAGCAAGTTGCGGGACTAGGTGACTTGCACCATATATATAGTATTCAAATCAATACTCATCATAATGAATTGATCGACAATAAATCATTTAAATTTTATAATATTAATATTAACATTATCGTAGAGATTGTGAATCAATTGAAAATTTATATTATTATATAATTAATGTGGTTTCATTGATGATTCAAAAAGAATAAAGAAAAAACGTTATAAATTAGTTGAAAATGCAAAAGGAAATGAAGAAATATACACATTTTTTCTTGAATACAAAATAATTAGGTGGATTCCATTTAGTAATATACAAATACATGAAAAAAAAAAAATTAATTAAACTATTTGTTTGATAGTTTGATTAGTTTGATAATTCTAACATTCAAATTGATTACTTGAATCATCTTTTAAAATTTTATACAAATGGAAGTATAAATAAGGGAATTTATTTCAAAGCATTTAACCCACTTTCCAAAATTGTAATTCGAATAAATTATGTAACCATTTTTAAGTTTAAATTTTTGTGCAAATGGAATTAAATATAAATAAATACACGTAAAGATTCATTCAAGTAGAATTATATCGTTTTAATAAATTTTATTTGTTTGAATGCTAAGCATTTTATTTTCGTGAATTATAATATTGTAAAATTGAAATAAAAAACTTTTAAAGTATGAAATCTAACTTATGTTTATAAAATAATTTTGTTATTTGGAGGCTAATTTTTTTTTGTTTTTTTTTATCATAGAAATGTCAGAAGAAATTGTTAAACAAATGGTTAGATTTGTACAGTCATTGCTAATCTCGGTACCTCAGTATGTTTTAGGTTCCTTATCTGCAATAGCGATCTTAGGGGCCACACCGGTGGGTGGTTTTAGAGAGAAAATTCGATGGATATTTCTGTGTTTAGGGGCCCCTATAGAGGGCCTCTATTACTACTGCAATGTAAAGAACGATGCGATCGTTATGAGCGCATATTGGCTCAAAGATGATCATTTTTATGAAATTGATGAAAAGACAGATAATGGTGTCACAATACTCAACTACAAGCTTTTTGGATGGCATGCTAAACAAATGAAGCTCACCCCGGAACAGGAAGAATGTATGAAAGGATGTGTGGCTGGGGCATCAATATTAGATCGTCTCAGTTACATGGTATCCATTTACTACATAATAGTAGGGATACTTGCAGGTATAATCAGGGCAGTCGCACCATGTATCAAAGAGGAATGGCCATATATACCACTAGCATTGGCTTGGACTTTGCCAGCAATTTTTAAGAGAGTGATAGGAGGAATAGTGGTGGTCCATAACCCCAATGAAAGGATTTTTAAGCTTGGGCAAATAATAACAAGTAAATCAACAAAGGATAGAAGACATAACATTATTGAGACTGGTTTATTCGCAATTATAGCTCCTTGGCTGGCAGTACTTCTGGCCTATTTCACAAACCCAGTCGGGTATGGATGTAGGAGTAGATTTCTGACCGTGTTGTGTGGGGTGTGGACACTAAATAATGTGATTTCACTTTTATTCAATATTACAAGAATACGTGGCAAAAATATCCGATTCTTAGTTCATTGTTACTTTTGGATTTCTGGTGCATTTGTAGCATTTATGCTACTTTTATTGGTTTTGCTAAGTAATTCAAGACTATTGTGGGTAAAATTTTTTTGGAGACCTTTGTGCTGACCCATCAACTCCTTGTTTGAATGTATCAGATATCGTAAAGAAATAATTGTTGTATCATCACTTAGGTAGGACATTATTTTTTAATAATAATTTTTTACGGATCTAGCTAGATTAATCATTAAACAAATAGAATAGCTTTAGGTTGATTATTTTTTATTATTATGTATTTGTATATTATTAAATGGAATCCATCTAATTATTTTGCATTAAAGAAGAAATGTGGATATTTCTTCATTTCCTTTCGCATTCATGCCATAATATCAATTTATCATTGATGTTATTTGCATTTTCAATTAATGTATAGAATTTTTTTCTTTATTCTTTTTAAATCATCATTAATTATATAATATATAAATTTTTCGGTAATCTTCAGTTGGTTCATAATCTCTATGTTGATATTAATATTATAAATTTAAATGATTTATTTGTCAATCAACTCATTATAACGGGTAATGATTTGAATACTAATACAGTATAACCCTTGCTTCAGCGGATTTTAAATGAAATTTTCATATATTAATATGTCTAGCCACTCCGTTGAAACGAGGGTTATATACTTTTTTCCTAAACAAATAAAAAAAAATGAAATTAATTTTGATTATTTCAACGTTGCAAATTGTCACCAATTATTATTATGGGAAAATGAAATAATTGATGATTGGGTAGATCAGATTGAATAAGGATTCATCAGCGGATAGTTTGGTTATAATTCATCAAGTCAAAACTTATTCTCGATTCGGGGCTTGTCAGATGATTGATTTGTTAACTGAAAAGTTGAAATTGTTATTTTGAAGGCATATGAATTTCGGTATTCTTTTTCAAATGTGCTGTGCGTCACAGATCACATGGATAAACTTTATTTCTTATTTTATTATAAAAATTGAAAAATAAAAATGATGAACGACAACAAGCAAAAGAATAAAGAAAAAAGAACACGACAGTTTGAATAGCTGTCGTTCACTTTTAGGCTCGTGCTCGCGTGAATCGAAGATAAGAGAGCATTAATCATCATCGCAAATTGTTTATAATCCATTTCGATTACTTCATCTCATTTGGTTGACGGTGACGTTGTTGTGTTTGGATGAGGCCGAGCTATTTGTTATCACAAAATTCCTAATTAACATCTTAATAGAGTCAACAACACTGATAATTTTTTATTTATTAACGCATCAATTAATCACACAAATCGATTGTTTATTAATAACACATGCACACGTCATCCACCACGAACCCTCCCGTGGTTTGAAGTGGTATCAAATATCGATACTAGAGAATCCGGGCTCACGAACCCTATGAATATAATTGGCTTAGATCCGCCGTCCTCAATGTAGATCTCGCTGCTTCATTGTGGATTTTGTCATTCTTAACAAACAAAAAGGTGATCAAGATTGAACTCGTTGTGATAAAAAAATCAAAAAATGAGGTTCATTTCGAGCCTTTATATATGTTCACATAACAGATCGTCCATTTTGATTTTAAATTAATAAAAAAAGCTTTTTTCTATATCCGGTTTAAGGCAAGTTGGGATTAAAAAAAAAACTAAAAGTAACCGTTCTATGTAGAACATTAACACACATTTACATACAGTTAATATTAACATCACCGGATTTTAAGAATGAATAGGAAAAACTGGATTTTTAAAATGCAATTTCGAGCCCTGGTTTGGATGCAATAATAAAAGGCAACCGATAGCATAGCATCTATACTATAGCATTGATATGGATAATAGCAACAGTTAACAATAAGATACAACAGAATTAAATTAATCACATAAATTGATTGTTTATACACGCACATGTTCCTTCCCGTGATTTGAAGTATTGTGTTGGCGTCAAACGTTGACACTAAAGAATCCGGGCTAATCAGAAAAACCGGATTTTTAAGGCAATTTGGTTTGGATATAATCAACAAAAGGCAGAGCATCTAACCTACAGCGTTGACATAGTCGATCCCGGTTGGTTTCTAAATCAAAATCCAAACATTCAAAAAGCATTTCAATGACAAATAGCTTGAAATTTCAACGTTTTAAAAAAACGAGTTCTTAGCTAGTCAACACTCATCATCATTAAATATTAAATATTGAGTATTTATATACAACGCTTTTACTTTCTTAAAACAGCAAAATCCTTTTTTGATTTTTTTATGATCACATCCAAAATAGACAATTTCTGTTGCACCAATTTAATCGAAACAATGAAATGACTATGAACAATAAATTATGATGATGATAATAATAAATAATTAAGTGGTCAATCAGCATCTTAATAA